CTACGATCCCTTCTTCGTTCTCCTCCTCTTCGTCCTTCTATCTCGATTTTCCTACACAAATCAAACAATCAAAACAAAATTAAAAGGTTAGAAAATGACATCTCACGGTTTGCATGTTCTTCACAGGTTTTTTTGGATGGCGACGGTGCACGTGTGGTTCGCGGACGGAGTTTTTTTTGGTGACGGATGAGTCGTGGTTGAGGTTTCATGGGGATGAACTCCGAGAAGAAGGAATCGCAAAAAGATGAGTGTTTCTTTATCCCGCCATGTCTTCGAGCAAGTTGAAGAGCCCTCATTTCCAGAATCGTGTCTTGAACATGTGTTTGTGAATTAGTGTCTTTGAGTTCACTCTTCTGGAAGCATCAATGCATTTCATTCTGTTAAATGAATTTGGATGAATGGATTACAAACAGTCTGTACTACTATCTGAAAACTTCCAATGTCTGCTCTTTGTAAACACTTGAGGGAACTTGTATGTTTAGAAATCTTCTGGTAGTAACTTCATCATCCTTTTTCATAATGAACGTGGTTCATCCTGCAATTTAATCATTACTTATGTTCATTCTTTTATTCTTTTTTCTTTCAGGGAAAAAAACTTTGAGTTCAGATGTTCCGTCGAGAAAGGATTCGTATCTGGTGACGATGGCACGAAAGTCTGAACCGTGCTGGCTTGTTACTATTGCCTTGATATTGTTTGTGCTGGTTGCTGATGTTCTGAATTACATTGGAAGCTGTCCGAAATTAATTGTTTTTGTCCGAAACTCTGTTCCTCCGATGCTTGGTAGGGAGCTGGTTGACAACTCCGGTTGTCGCCCTTCCGGCTGCTCGGATTTTTTGCCCGATGATGACCTGAAAACCTGAGGGGTGAAACCAATTCGATTCTTCTTAAATTTTTAATCTTTGCTTTATTTCTTTCACGGTATTCTGATTACCGGTTGCGTATTTGCTTGGACAGGTCGGAATGACAGCCTGCGGATCCGAGATGTTGCAAGGAGGGCTGTGTGCGGGTTTACACATTCAAATCAACTTACTTCGAGACGTTGTTTTACTGATAACAGCCATGGGCAGAATTGGATTAGGCCGGCAATTGGTATGCCATTGTGGTGATACTTCCTAGTATGAGATACGGTCATAATGTTTTAACCTTGTGTTCAAACTTCTGCAGGCTAAATGACATTGCTTAGAGGACGGTGGAGGATAAGCGCGAACGATGATTTGAAATGGTGTTGTCTTTACTGAACTTGTTTATGGCAATATAGAAGAGTTCTTGATATCTTTGTGTCTTTAGTTTCAGGCCGAAAAGGACTCATTGGGATTGGCGGCGGAGGATTAAGGGCCTGCTACCGTTCAGTCCGCGAGGCTGCATACCCTACGTTGGGAGCCTCATGGTGTCTAATCGAAGGACGGTCAAAGATGGATAGTTCACTACACACTTCTTGCACAGCTCAATGTAAATACCAGAAGACCTTAGTATAAACTTATGATGTCTTAATTAATTGAAAAAACGGTCTGGCATGATAATGATTGCAGGTGCAGGTGTGGAAAGCCGCATAGATAGTGTTCCAACATGTCTTCATCAAGGAGATCAAGCATTCCTTCCCTCTAGTTCCTTTCGTGAAGTATCCTTATCATCTGCACGAAGTTATCATCCAAAATTCAGCGATCGACTCTGTAGGTAGGTTCTGACAGAGATTGACAAGATGCTCAAGTGCTCTTTTAATGGCGTTAACAAGTGCTTTATTCTTTGATCTTAGTTATAGGATGTGTGCACTTAAAAAAAAAGTAGTAACATGGTGTACTAATGCCAAATGCTAAGGATTTGTATTTATCTTTCCATGATTACCGTGTAGGTTTTAATTTAATCCTTGTTATTGCAACAAAAATTGTTACTGACACTTTAAAAAGTGGATGAATTGAGAATTTTATGGGTTTCAAGAACCTCTGTCATTTTCCATCTTCATGCCTAAAAAAAATTGAATTTCCTTCTTTTATAATTTGAACACGTTCAGAAAAAATTGTAACTTGGAGATTTTTTTTTGCGAAATGTGATTAACACGTGTCTATGATTTTTGTTTTATTGCCAGTAAGTATCAAAAATGTAATTTTTTTTTATGTTAATAGTTAAAAAATGTTAATAGTTAAAGATACTCAATTAAAGGAATAAAACTAGAGTCACTAAAGATTACATAAATAAATAAATTAAAAGATGAACAAAACTGCATTACTAACTAATTCTCTATTTTAATGTCTTTTTTTGCCGCATGTTTTATTATGATAAATTATTTAACAATTTATATTATTTTAACAAATTTAATCTTTAAGAAAAATAATTAGTCAATATATTTCTCATAATATTTATATAAATTGTAAAGAAAACTACGTTCATTTTTTCCTTAATGCATTTATATTGTAATTTCTATTGTAGCCTATTAAAGAAGATTAATTAGTCAATATATTCTTGAAGAGAAAACATATGGTATTCTTTATAAAAATGTAATTTTTTTTATGTATTATTGTTGTGAATTTTGTATCATTTTTAATTTTATAATAAAATATATTTAATATTATTTCTAAATTTTTAAGGTAAATTTTATTTAAAAAATTATATGCATTTTAATTAAAATAATTAAAATAATAGTAACTTGAATAAAAAATATAAAATATGGGATCAACACTTTGGGCCCACAAAAAATATCTTAATTTATCCATTTAGCTTACTCCCATTAATATAAAACCCTAATCACCCATAAAAAACATAATTAGTATCACTTTCAACACTTTCATTCCCTCCAATTAATCAGAATTTGGTTTCTCTCACAACAACCAGAACCTATATTCTAGGTCATTGTTCTCTTCACTTCTTTGAGCTTTTCAATTTTCTTTTCATGTAATAGTTCCATAGATATTTAGAGTTAATTATTTATGTTTATTGTTTCTTTCTATTTGATTTTTTAGAGTTAATTATTTATGTTTATGTTTATTGTTTCTTTCTATTTGATTTTATTCCTTGTTCGAAAATTCAATTTCATAATTTTAAGATTAATAACGTTAGGATTTAATTCAACACTTTTATAGTTAGATAATAAATATACAAATTAAGGTAACAAATGAGTCTTAAACTCATTCAAAAACTAGCGCTAACAATTTGCTTTATATTATTTTAACAAATTTAATCTTTAAGAAAAATAATTAGCCAATATATTCCTCATAATATTTATATAAATTGTAAAGAAAACTAGGCTCATTTCTTCATTAATGCATTTATATTGTAATTTCTATCATAGACTATTAAAGAAGATTAATTAGTCATTTTTTCATTAATGCATTTATATTGTAATTTCTATCATAGCCTATTAAAGAAGATTAATTAGCCAATATATTGTTGAAGAAAAAATATGAGAATTAAAGTTAAATCATGAGTGTCATTGTCATATGTTACTCTCTATGAAAATGTAATTTTTTTATGTATTATTGTTGTGAATTTTGTATCATTTTTAATTTTATAATAAAATATATTTAATATTATTTTTAAGTTTTTAAGGTAAATTTTATTTAAAAACTTATATGCATTTTAATTAAAATAATTAAATTAATGGTAACTTGAATAAAAAATATAAAATATGGGATCAACACTTTGGACCCACAAAAAATATCTTAATTTATCCATTTAGTTTACTCCCATTAATATAAAACCCTAGTCACCCTTAAAAAACATAATTAGTATCACTTCAACACTTCCATTCTCTCCAATTAATCAGAATTTTGTTTCTCTCACAACAATTAGCCTATATTCCAGGTCATTGCTCTATTCACTTCTTTGAGCTTTTCAATTTTCTTTTCATGTAATGGTTCCATAGATATTTAGAGTTAATTATTTATGTTTATTGTTTTTTTCTATTTGATTTTTTAGAGTTAATTATTTATGTTTATTGTTTCTTTCTATTTGATTTTATTCCTTGTGAGAATTCTATTTCATAATTTTAAGATTAATAATGCTATGATTTAATTCAACACTTTTGTAGTTAGATAATAAATATACAAATTAAGGTAACAAATGAGTCTTAAACTCATTAAAAACTAGCGCTAACAATTTGCTTTATAAATAAGAATTAAAAACTAAAAAAATAAATATTTACGAGCAGAAAGAGCAGAGTAAAAAAAAAACACGCCGGAAAGATTGAAGACACGAACCCAATCAGCAACAATTGAAAATTGGTCGCAAATTCGCACCTGATTTAATTTCTGCAAGTTTTCTTTTCAATCGCACAATTTGTTGCATTGTTGTTGTTTGTTGGAACCTAGAGTCGAGAGAGAGCGAGAGGAGTGAGTATTATATTTTTCACCGACGTCGGCCCTCGGACATGGCGCGACAGCCCTTTTTCCATCTGGTATGGCGTCGAACATCAAGGAGACGACTTGATAGCGAGGTTAGCTCACGTGACCTAGAAAAAGAGAGGTGTGAGGCGGCGATGTCATGGGAAGAAGATGAAGATAAGTTTAATTTTGTAGAGTTTGGTTTAATAATGGTAAGGGATATCGTTGTAGATGAACTTGTTTCTCACATAGGTTTGTTTGTTAGCAATGGAGGGATGATTGTGTTACCTTCCGAAAGAGGGATGGGGGTTCAAACCTTGCATTTTAGGGATTTACTCCTCTCTTTTTTGTAAGTAAGCCAGACCGGGTCAGCAGGACCCGTAACTCCAAACCTGGTTGCCATCATGTTGGGATTTACTATTCTAGAGTAAGGCTACTATTCTAGAAATATACAAAATTCATGCTACTCTAGAATATGAAAAAGAAAAACTATAAAAGAAATATACAAAATTCATGCTACTATTCTAGAGTAAATGATTGATTCGGAAAACGCATATGAAAAAAGAGGGCTATTGTGGAATGTTTTAGAAAATAAAAAAGTTTTTTTGTTGTTTTACATTTGAGAAATAATGTTTAATTATGTGCTAAAATTTTCAAACTTTGTGACTTTTTAGATATATTGATTCATGGGTGGCACTTCAAAGCAACAACAGGGTGATGGTGGCAAAAGTCCACAGTGTATCCGGTCAGTATTACCGGAGGAAGAAGCTGATCAAATAGTTAACTCGGATGGAGGAGAAGTTGCTCTAAAAAAAGGTATCGAAGCTGATCAAACAGTTAACTCGGGTGGAGGAGAAGTTGCTCTAAAGAAAGGTATCGAAGCTGATCAAACAGTTAACTCGGGTGGAAGAGAAATTGCTCTAAAGAAAGGTATCGAAGCTGATCTAACAGTTAATGCGGGTGGAGGAGAAGTTGCTCTTAAGAAAGGTATCGAAGCTGATCAAATAGTTAATGTGGGTGGAAGAGAAGTTGCTCTTAAGAAAGGTATCAAAGCTGATCAAACAGTTAATGCGGGTGAAGGAGAAGTTGCTCTTAAGAAAGGTATCGAAGCTGATCAAACAGTTAATGCTTTTAAGAAAGGTAGCACTTCGACGCGAAAACGTAAAGTGTCATCATTATCAAGTGGCAGTGATGTTGGTAAAAGGTCAAAGCTTAGCCGGTCAATATTACCGGAGGAAGAAGCTGATCAAAGAGGAGAAGTTGCTCTAAAGAAAGGTCCGTGGACAAAGGAAGAGGATGAAATTTTGAAAGATCATATTAAAAAGCATGGAGAGGGAAACTGGAAAGCAGTCCAAAAGAAATCAGGACTTGCTCGTTGTGGGAAAAGCTGTCGTCTCCGATGGTCAAATCACTTGAGGCCAGGAGTGAAAAAAGGTTCGTTTACTGCCGAAGAAGAACGCCTAATCATTGAGTGTCACTTTCTGAAGGGAACCAAGTGGGCTCATATGGCTAAAATGGTATATCTAATAACTTAACTTTGTTTGTGTATATTATGTTAATATTAATGTGTAGATGATATCCTGCATTAGTTTCTTGTGGAATATAATACCATTTTTCTCAATATGAATGCATCTTCAAATGATGATTTGAATAAATCTTACTTTTGATCATCAAGTTATTGTTCCTGGACAGTATTACTTAAATGTGTTCTGTTACTGAGCTTGTTATTTACATGTTCTGTCGAGTATATTTGCCTTGCTTAGTCCTCTTTCTTTTCTTTTCAGCTGCCTGGACGTACAGATAACGAGATAAAGAACTTTTGGTACACAAGATCTAAGAAACGGAATCGAGATGGCTTACCAATCTATCCTGACGAGATAATATCTAAATATTCGTTAAATGACAGTCAAGAAAGTGCTGACACATTGCCAAATGAATCCAACCAGCATGATGAAACAGAAACCTTCAACTTTGATATATCTGACTTGGACCTTAAATATTACAAATTCCGCCCAGATATGATGCCACCACTTTTTGATTCTCAAGATTACAAACCAATTAGCGACTTGGTTAGACAGTGCTCAGATTCGTCTCATAATACCTTATACATGCCTAGTGCAGTAGTTCAGTAAAGATTTTTTTCCAGTAGCAGAAGTGCTGCTGTCCCGGATGTATTTGATCAGTATGGACAATACCCTATGTTGTCTACTCCATGTGATCTGATTCTTAACACCAACCTTCTTCATGGATATGATAACCCTATAACTGGTTTTAATGCCGCGTCAAATATCTCTTCTTCTGACCCCATATATGGATCCATGACTTTTGAGCCCCCTTCATTCCAAAATTCACAGACTCAACAGCCTACCTGGACTGACATGGATGTGCCGCCACTTCCCTCATTTGAGTATGTTGACACGCCAGTTCAGGCTCCTCCAATTGAGTCTTGTCCTCCAGTTCCAGATTCTCTGGATTGGGATCGTATAGTTGATGCAATAGAACTTCCCTCAGTTGAGTATGTTGACACGCCAGTTCAGGCTCCTCCAATTGAGTCTTGTCCGCCAGTTTCAGATTCTCTGGATTGGGATCGTATAATTGATGCAATAGAACTTCCCTCAGTTGAGTATGTTAACACGCCAGTTCAGGCTCCTCCAATTGAGTCTTGTCCGCCAGTTCCATATTCTCTGGATTGGGATCGTATAATTGATGCAATAGAACTTCCCTCAGTTAAGTATGTTGACACGCCAATTCAGACTCCTCCAATTGAGTCTTGTCCTCCAGTTTCAGATTCTTCGGATTGGGATCGTTTAATTGATGCAATAGAACTTCCCTCAGTTAAGTATGTTGACACGCCAATTCAGGCTCCTCCAATTGAGTCTTGTCCGCCAGTTTCAGATTCTTCGGATTGGGATCGTTTAATTGATGCAATAGAACTTCCCTCAGTTAAGTATGTTGACACGCCAGTTCAGGCTCCTCCAATTGAGTCTTGTCTGCCAGTTCCAAATTCTACGGATTGGGATCATTTAATTGATGCAATAGAACTTCCCTCAGTTGAGTATGTTGACACGCCAGTTCAGCCTCCTCCAATTGAGTCTTGTCCGCCAGTTTCAGATTCTCCGGATTGCTGTCATTTAATTGATCCAATAGATTATGATCACGATGCTATAGTTGCTGCCCAATTAAACTTCTTAAGACAGGTCCGCTCAGAAATTAAAAACACTCGACGTTATTATATTAACCGTGGTGCATTCAATGATCAGCTTCCAGCTTATTATACTTCCAACAAAAAGATAATTTGAATCAGAAAGATTTGGCGCTGTGATTGATCCTAAATGATGATCAGTGTGTTGTTGTAACTTGTATATTCGGCTATTCACTCAATCAAACTTTTTCTGTTCCGGTTAACATTCGACATCTTATGATTAGAGTTTTTCTTTTTTCATTTGTCTAAGTCTGAGATTTCAATTTGTTGAATGTTATGAACGTGGTGTGTCCACTATATATTGTGTTGTTGGTTGTCTCTTTATATGATATTGTTTTTCTTAATGGTTAGCTGCATTGTGTTTGATTAGGTAACTGTAATTTGTTTATAGATTTTGTTATGTGTTTGATTAGGTAACTGTAATGGTCAAAATATTTCCTCCAAAATTCTTTTTAATTTCTTTTGTTGTTGAAAGAAAAGGGGCAAGTCTCAAAGCACGCAGAAAAAACAACATCTCTCAGATTTGTCAATGCATACATAGTATGCATTATAATAAAAATAGTAGACCAATTGTTAACTTCACAAATATTCTCACAAAAGTTGCTAATCAACTTAAGTACTCAACATATGTTCTATTTATGCATCTCAACCATCAAGTGCTTTATAACATGTGTCTTTGACAGATTATAGTCTTGTATATGACACCAACTACGACTATTGAGAACATTACAGTATATTTTAGTTGAGGAGCCTTACGTTTTTGTAAATAATTTGGTAAATTTGGTTATGGTTCTTGTGTTAGTTCTCTTGCATTTGATATAATACTGGTATAGGCTCAAAAGTAAATAGAATTGTAAACTAAGATTTTCCATCCTTACGTTTTTGTAAATAATTTGGTAAACTTAGTTACAGTTTTTGTGTTAATTCTCCTGCATTTGGTATAATACTGGTATAGGCTCAAAAGTAAATAGAATTGTAAACTGAGATTTGCCATCCTAATTAGTTGTTATAAACACTAACTAGCTCATATACTTGGAAGCTGTAAGAATGCTTCAAATATACTAAATAATCTTCTGGATTGCGATCTCTTTGGCAGAAGTTGCTAAGCGGCAGAATACTTTGAGATTATGTCCTAATTTTTCCTGAGAAAACAAGCAAACGCATCATGAAAATGCATTCCTTTAACAACATTTCAAGAGCAAATACAAAACTATTAGAATGTTATCATGGAAACTGATGAACTAACAACCAAATCCTAGCATACAATTCAAACTAAAATTCATCTATTAATTCTCCATGCAGTGGAAACTGAGAACTTTCCAAAATTACAGAGTGTACTTGCTACAGGTTTTTCTTGAGAATGAAGATTCTGAAGACTATATAGTAGATAGATCCCATCATTTGAATCAGGCTACGTTATTTAGAATGGAGATGATGTCTTTGTTTATATGAATGAGGTTAGATGGATTAGCCACTACTAGGTTGGCAGCTGACTCCTCGTGACCTTATGTTAATGCTAGTAACATAACTATACGGATAACGCTAAGACTTCTGAATCTCGACCGTACGCTAATTATCTCTATGCTAACAAATTCCACACAAAGCTATAAGCAGGCTGCACAAATTTCAGCATACCAAGACTTCATATAGCTTGCAAGTTATTTACAAAGAGGTGGTCATAAACTTATAACATGAATAAAAACAATGTGAACCGCACGCTCACGACACACTCCAAACCAAAACATGCAGATTTCATAACTTCAATACACACAAGAATCACCAACAACTTAAATATATCACAAAGTTTAACTCTGAATCCCTTATGGATCAGCAACACCTGACTCAGCAACATATGCTCTTCTGTCATGGTCAATGTGGTTTTTAGTTTGCTCTTGGTTGTTTGCTCCTTTCCTTTTCAATCCATCAGGATTTGAGTGGCGGAAGATAATTGAGGACTGGGATGATTGGACTAAATGGATTAGTAATCGAGGTGGTATTGGTGTTCCTTCAAACAAGAGTTGGGAGTCATGGTGGGATGAGGAACAGAAGCATATGCAGCACACTGGCCATACTGGCATGGTTCCTATTTGTTTCAGAATTCCAATAATCTATGCTTGAAAACATAAGCTTCAAGTTAACTTTATTTATTCTATCATATAACTGAGATTCTTTTTGCAACTTTAGGAAACTCTTGAGCCGGGAAAGGAAATTGAGGTGAGAGAATTTGAAAACTAATGCATGCATGGATGTCTAAGACTTGTATCAAGCTGCAACTGTTCTTAAATTCTCCGCTTATTGGCGGTTGACGAGATAAGACATACGAAAAATTCAAGATGCCTCACAGCAAACAACATATTTTGGCAGTAAGATTTCAATATAGGTAAATTGATTCACTATATTGTACTTTTAGTAGTTTTTTTTTTCTGTCAAAATTGTTACCTAAGACTTAGTAGAATGAAAGTTTACATGTTGTGATGTTCTGTTCTACGAGTATTTGCTTTTAATATGCACCATGCGCAAAAGTTAAAACCAAAGTCGTGTTTAAATTTTGGAGACTCTGTGTAAGTTAGGCGATGTTCAACCGTTTGCAAAATAAATAGGGGCCTATATTGCTAGGACAAATATTTTATGAGGTCCTACCTGGGACGAATTTTGGACCGTGCATGTGCAATAGTATGCCTTGCACGTCTTTATAGACGGTCCTGTGTAAAACATGGCGTATGTGTTGTATTATTATCATATCTTGCTAGATTGTATCTGGTTAATGTTATCTTAAGACATTGTTTTGCTTGGCGTTGATGTTAGAGTTAGGAATATTGATGAAGTGTTGTACTTTTGTTCTTTGTAGGGCACAAATGCAGACGATTATTACAAAAGCGTGTAAGGAGCTTGATATAACAGCTCTTCCTAGTAAACGAGTGAGTTGATTTCAGATTTTGCTGCTCATGTGAAATTTCATTGCTATGCCGAAAACTATATAAGTTTGCTTAATGATAGAAATGTTCATGACAGACCTTGGGTTGAAAAGCTTAACTTGTTCATTAGGTGAAGGTTGTGAAAATAGGTTCTGAAAATAAGTTTTGCATGTAAAATCCATATTTTGGTTAATCACTTAAACTATTTATAGAAAGAAAAAAAGCTTAAGGAAACAGGTACATAATTGCAGTATCCCATGATGTAGAAAGTTACTGAGGTTTTAAATTAAGGTTGTAGTTGTAGTTGCATTGCGAATTTGCAATTTTCATAGATTGATGTGTGGCTTATTTGTATTAGCATTGGAAGAGGCCAAATGCTTGTTAAGTCAATGGCCGTCTGTTGTTTTGTCGTTAACACGCTTTTGAAAATTGACTGCGTGCTAGCGATAAAGCAAACACACTGGTGGTTTGCAATCATAATCCATCGTAGTTTTGGTGGCCACCGTGTTGTGGCGGATCACATTATGAGGTCTTCAATTTCAAACACAGTCTGATAGACAGGTGCTAAGTTAGAGGATCCAAAAGTTTGGTTGTGTTTCATTTGGGTTCTATGAATCAAGACTAGTGGTGCTCGATCCAAATAAAAGGCGTTCAAACTAATAAAGGAGCGACTCGAGAGAGATAATGTGTATGCCTCTCGCCCTCGCCCGAAAACATTCCTCAATTATACCACTATACTTAGTGTGTTTTTAATTTAACCGTAATGTTTCCAGAAATGCCCATGTGTCTTTATAAGACGGTCACTCAAATAGATACAACGAAATAATCCTTCACACTTCCTTTCTTTCATAACTCTGAAGCTTCAAGTGTTGACATCTTTACATCATGTTCTCCACCTTGAATAATATTGTTTTTAAAATTTGTTTAATAAAAATATATTTTAAAAAAATAATTTTTGTAACACAAATCTAAATTTCTGATATTGATCAATTTCATAATTGTATTAACGACAAAG